ACTGTTGTCTCAGATTTCTTTTATAAACACTTTCATTTTTTTTCGTCGATTGTAAAACGCACTTGCAATTCACTCATATGTGTACCGTACATTGCAACGTGAGCACACACTATATATAACGTGAATAAGAAAAGAAAAAAGAAAAGGAAATCGCTATTTGTCGCAACTCTAATAACAAAGCAAAAATATTCGTTTTATTTTTTTCGTGAGAATTTAGCTGTACGAATACATAGATCATCTGAAAGAAAAAGGAATTGAAAAGGTTTTTGCATTTTCTTAACATGACGAACACAGTTAATAGGTGAGATCGAAAAAACTCAAACTTCACTGGAAAATTGTCACATAGTTAAAATAATTTGAAAAAAAATCGAAAAACAATTCTTTATTTTACTGAACAAATCAGTTTTTCGTATATTCTTCGCAAAAACAGTCAATTCCGATCTTCATTCAGCTTCATTATTTCACGCATTATTCTATGGCTAAATCATTGAAGACCCTCTTTGATTTTAGAAGAAAATCGACCATATTACAGTATTAGTAGATTATAAACAGATAAAAACAAATTGAACTTACATTTGCTATTTTTTGTGTTGTCCAATCATTGTATTATTATTTGTTTGTGATATAATTGTGTTGTTCGTTGCTAAATTTCTATGTTCTGTACCACAGATGAATCTTAGACAGACATCAATTAATCTTAAAAGTTCATTACGAAATGTTTTTGATGATAATGTGTAAAAATAAAATCCTAGGGAAAGAGATTTCCAAATATTCATTTCGAAATGTTTACACAACAGAATTACTCACCAAATACATGTTCAAAGTAAGATATTAACCGTATAAGTTGTGTTGCAAAGTTATCTTCAGCAATTTTTAAACTAGTTTTAACATTATTCAATGTAAATGTGTCATATAATTTCTGAATGCCGAATGGACTTGTAAATATAAGGATAAGACCAACTTGACAAAGTAACATTATCATTAACTGAACATCTTTTTTCCGCATTTTGATAGTAGCCACACCTTGATTAGGAACTATTTGTCGACGCATTTTTCCAACATTTAATATAGTAAGTATTCCAAATACGGCCATCAGCAGTGCTGGTCCTGTTGCATAGAATAGAACATACTGAATATCAGAAAACACTCTATAGGGACCACTGAGAGCATAGCATGTCAGTGTTAATTTTCCGGATGAATTTAGCTGAGATTGTATGTCGAACAATACGAATATGTGTAAATAGCTCAATATGCAAACAATTGTTGCAGTAATTATTGCTCTTTGTGCTATATGTGTAGAGCTAAATTTTCTGTATTTAGCGTTTTGACAGCTCGATGCGAATCGATCGACACAAGCTAACAAAATAAACCATGTTGATAATGATCGTGATACATAAGTTATGTAATATCGTGTTTTACAATATATACTTGGACTAATGCTTGAATTAATGTTGTAACCATCAGATAATATTCGAGTTAATATAACAAAATACACAACAAAGTAGTTTGTGATTGTCGATGCAAGAAAATATTGTACACAAGAATTTCTTCTTAATGTTCTTCTTGTGAATATAATAATGTTTGAAGTTAATCCAATGGATCCGAATAAGAGTAATGGTAACGGAAAATAACGATTAAACTGCACGGATAGATAATTGAGTAGATTAATTTGAGCAGTAGATGAATTCGACATCATCAAACACTATACTCATAAACTGATTCAACTTTCAAATGAAGTCTTCAATATCCACAATTGTATATATCGATGAAGGAGGCCCTTTACCCTAGATTACTAAAAGGCTAGCAGAAGTCATTGTAGAAAAGTTCTTCTCCATCTAAATCATGGACAGAACATGATAAAAAGTAATTTTAAACTATTGCTATTCGTTCGCATTTACACAAAGAGTCTTTTTCGTTTCAGCAACTCCCTTTTATATAAATCAAACACTAGTTCCGAAAAATCGATTCTTAGCTGATGAAAAGCTATACTGACTATCCTATCTACCCCTTGTAACGCCTGATTGCCATTACATAATTCTTCTTCCTTCATTTTATCGCAGATTTTATGAATTCTAGAAACTTCGACGCATCGCTGTTTTTAGGGAAAGAGATCATAGAAAAAAAAGATATCATTAATTATTTATCAGTTTAATAAACGTTGTCTTCTGGGAGAGAAACAAAACAAAACACAAAGTCTTAATGGAAGCGGGGTTTTATATATACTACAGCTTGATATCGCCTAGCTGTACTACTACTTCCCTCGTAAGTCAATTATAACTCGCGAAGGAAGCCGCATGGGCCCAAATCTTTTTAGGCTTTTTGTTACACTGATGTGCCCTATCGATCAGAAAAATGTGAGCTTAAACAGAGTGGAACACCTTGCGAGTTCCCTCGTTGGCGATAATAAATATGCCCATAGTACAAGTACAAAGTATTTGTTGAAAGTAAACGGGTAAAACTACAACTTTTTTTAAGGAAAAAGTGGTCTTCACTAGCTTTTTTCTTATTTCTCTTAATTGTTTTATCAAGCTTCTTTTTGAAAGACGAGAAAAATGCTAAAAATTTTATGTAAATTTAATGTAAAATTATTATTATCTAATAGTTACTGATGTCAACTTACTTTTTCCACTAGTTTTCTCATTTACAGTCTAGTCTCTTGTGATTCGTTAAGAAGGAACTTTGCGAAAAAGCATTTTGTCATGATTTTTTCAACTTACTTCAGCTGCTATTTATAATACAAACTCTACTTCGGACAACAACTTGATTGTTTCAAACACAGAACCTACACGCTACCCCTTATCGAGATCGCATATGAGCTACGTTGTTGCTATAGCGGTGAACATTGAAGATGACGGAGTAGGACAGAAAAATAGCACAAATTGCATTATTTATCATCAGCCATTTTCATTTACTTTGAAACTTACTGATGCCGTTGTTAAGTGATAAAATTAAGCTTGGCTTTTCCAAGAAAATTTTTGCGCAAATATTACTCATTTGGAAGAAAACTAATAGTGGCAAACTGTAATAACCGGACGACGCAGAAACTTATAAGACGCGGAAATAGACTGATAAAGCGTGGATTCAACAAGAATGACTATAAGTTTTCACTTATTTCATGCACTAAGTCTACAATCTAATTTACTGTTTAATTCCATTGTGTGAAACCTGACTGAAAAGGAGTTAACAAATGATTTTTTTAATGTGTCTATACAACTTGTTAAAAATCAGTCTTTCTAATATTTTTCACATTGTAGAAAGCAAACTAATTGATCTATAATTTGTTGGCTGAGTGTTATTTCCGTCTTTAAAAAGAGGATGTATGACTTTTACTTTCCATCTCTGGGGAAAAACACTAGTCGACAAAGAAAAATTACAAATATGAGCAAACTCATTAACTATAACTGGCCCAGCTTCACGCCAAATTTTAGACGTTATTCCCTCACTGGTCGCTTTATCCATATTTATTCTACTTAAGCATTGCTCAACTTCATGCAAAGACACTGTAAATAAATGAAGAGTGAGTGCGCTAGAAGATAAAATATTTGGAGGAATACATCTGTTATAGTCAACATCAGTCATATAATAAATATCAGCACGTTAATGTTAACTTCTTCAGTGACAATATGAATTCAAAAGTTAACTCTGGACTTAGAGTATGCGATAAATAGAATAAAAACGAAAATAAATTTGTGTTGAAATAAAAGCACCGATCAATTAGAAGAGGTGTGTGCATTTTAATACTTACATAAAGAAAAGACCGCGCGTCTTTATCGATAAACTGAAAATACTAAAGAATAATCTCTTTTTAATTGCAGTGAAGCACCATTAGATGTATTTGAAATTATTCATCAAAACCATGTTTCATTAATGGCGACATTCTTTTGTTTAGAATATGATCTGTCTGCCGCACAGAAAGATGTCAGAATTAATACACAGTGTATTCTTAAACTGCTATTTATACAAGCATACATGCGCCTGGTGTGCTTGGGGTTGGTGCATTGCACTGTATTCTCGGGTGACAGTCAAAATACACCCGTAGAATGTTACTTCGTGACTCAGTGTCATGCTACCATCCTCCCTCCACCAGAATTTTCATAACTCAAGAAGGAAGAGAGACAGAAAGCTGAAATTTTCAGGGTATCTAGCAGACCTCTAGCGTGAGCATCAACAAACATTTCAGTTTGCTGCGACCTTTCTAGGCGGAGTTCTGAATTTTTCTATTTTTGCTAGTTTTCGCTGAGAAAACAAAAAAAATGGCTGTAACTTTTGAGGAAAGAGTCATGGGTCCATATGCATTAGGCTTTTTACCTGCTCCCAGCCCTCTAGCGAATGACGTGTGAATGAACGAAATCGGAAGAGTTCACCGAAAAACGTTCCTTCGTTAGAAGAACTACTCATGAAAAATTGCGTCTATCGTATGTTTCACTCATCAGTTCACATTGGAATAGAAACACAATAGAAAAATTATGTCACCTGAAAATGAACGTCTTTTCAGTAGGAAAAAATAATTTTTCAGATAGAGCCTATATTTTCTATAAAAAGGATAGATTTTGAAGGATTTAGGATATAATATCAGGAGGTGGCGCGAGCTGAACAAGAGTCGTAATCGCGCGAACCTAGAAAGGAAGCTTAGGCAGTTTATAGCACGGTCAAATTTCGTCGGAGGAGCTGCTTTCTTATACTGCTTCTTATGCTGCTGCTTTCTTATTCTCAACAAGTTCTACAAACCGGTCACATCAGAAATGAATGTTTCATGACAAAAGGGTCGCTGATAACTCTAAACATAATTCATATAATACTACTTACGATATTCTAGTTCAGAGTAGGAACAAACATTTTCAGTATCTGTCAGATATACTTCTTACTCGAACAAGACATACATCTTTATCAGCCGTTCTTACCATCAGAGAAGAGTGAAAATAGGACTCTAACGGAAATCTGAAAGGACGACGGATGATTCTGCTTCTAAAGATATAAGGTAAGACAAAATTGTTTTATTCACCCATAATTTTGAATAACAAACTATATACTTAGAATCAACATCGAATTTTGAACACAATAACGCATTTAGTTTTTGAAACATTGATTTTCAGTATTTTTCTAAACTTCTCCGTTTGATGCGGATGTGCGTGTTCTATACACTAATGACCATGCTGAGTACAGCATGTGGTCGGTTTTATGTGAAAGTGCATTTTAAACGAAAAAAGCTTTTTTTTTATCTTCTTCTTGGTGATTATGGCTCTTTGTTCAGTTCGCGCCACCTCCCGATCTTATTTCCTAAATCCTTCAAAGTCTATCTTTTTTATAGAAAATGTAGGCTCTATCTGAAAAATTATTTTTTACTTTTGAAAAAATGTTCATTTTCAGACGACATAATTTTTCTATTGTGTTTCTGTTCCAATGTGACCGGGTCACACTCGTTCTACCTAGTTAACACGCTATTTCTTACTCTTTTATCTAGATACTTTTGCTGGAAAATCGGACGATACTTCAGTGAGTGTATCTTGATTTTTTTTCTCTTGCATTTTCGTGTTTGGGCTGCAGAAAATGATGATACTCTACTATCTACAACTGTCTATCAGGTGAAGAGATGATCTACTGTTCTCATGTAAGCGATACTTTATCCAAGATGTTTGATCCTGTGTTAAGTCCCACTGCAAAATATTATATTTAAGTTTTTTATTTTTTAATTTTTAATTTTTATATTAAAATCAGTGACGAGAGTAAAAGTAAATGATTAAATAACAACAACAGTTGTAGATGGATAACGAGGACACGCACACACACACACGTTATTTTATCGACGTTGGTCGGGAGCATATGTTCTTCCGCATATTTTGTTAGTATTTTCATCATCATAAAAGATAGCACACTAAATTTGTGAAAAAGAAGGGAAGAAAATGTATGTGAAAACGAAAAAGTGTAGCTGATAACACTCATCCCTGAGGTGCTTCAACAAAAAATATCAATGATTCGAGAAACTGCCTGCCCAAAATGGATAGACACTCTTCTCTCCTTCAACCATAGGAAAACCCAACGAAACTGCAAAATATAAATGTTGTCAGAAGAGTACATATTATAGTGAAGAAGATA